AGGGTTAAACCGGGCGACTCCTTGGAGGCAAGGATTCAGAAGCTTCGCCTGACATATTTTGGACATGTTGTAAGGAGGGACCAGTCCTTGGAGAGGGACATCATGTTTTGGAGGGTGGAGAGACAGCGCAGGAGGTGAAGACCTTCTATGAGGTGGATTGATTCAGTGACTGGGGTAATCGAGATGGGTGTGTTGGAGACAGTGTGATTGGCACAGGACAGAGCAGAATTTAGGGCTGTTGTACATAGGGTCGCTATAAGTCACAAGCGACTCCACGCGACACCTAACAACAGAGGGAAGTGAGTAAAGGAAATATTTGATGCAGGACAGAGAAAAAGCAGGATGGGACACCAAGAATGGATAAAAAGAACAGAGAGCATAAAGGCAGGAGGTAAAAAGCTCAGAACCTAGCTTCTCTGTAACTTTGTTGAAAATCACCAGGGAGCAAATCACAAAGAGAATTCTATGCAAATGAAGCTAGGCTCTTTCTATCATCAAGTTTAAGCTTGCATCAGGAAGGAAGGATTTTTAAATACAATCTAAGAATTCAAAGGGCATCCTTAGGTCTGCCTTGGCAGCAGATTCCTATGATCTGTGTCAGGAGGAACTCCAGCTTGTATTTGCACCTTCCTGGTTAAACATTTAATTTAACATTTAGTTTAATATTTGGCTTCCCACAGGAAATGGGAAATATCTGGTGTGAAAAGCACTGTATACAAACTTTGTAAGTAAACCAATACAAATTTTAAAAAATTATTTTATAAAAAAAGGAAGATGGAGGGAAAACACAGAATTACTGTACCAAAAAAAAAGCAAAACAACAGACAAACAAACCCCAACCAAAAAACAGACACTGAAAATTTTTAGGAAGTACCGTATGAATAGGAGCATGGGTAATGAAAGTTGAAGCTGAATTGAATGCACTGACATAAAAATAAGACTTACTTCAATTAACAGATGCAGCCCTAGATGTGCTCACTAGGAAATTTGGACGTCAGCTTCCTGGCCACTCGATTGAAAGAAGTCCATATTTGTTCCCATTTTCAGGAAAGGTGATCCAACAGAATGTGGAAACTATTGAACA